TAAGCTATATATATATTTAAAATAAAAAATTTTAATTAATTTTTTCTGAAGTAACAGCCGTGTCTCAGAAGTTATCGTAATATCCTTAAGCAGGTTTATCTTTTTCGGTACGTCTTTATGGCTATTACAATTTATATTTATCAACTAATCAGAAATCCGTCATGGTCCAGTGGCTAGGATTCATCGCTCTCACCGATGCGGCGGGGGTTCGATTCCCCCTGACGGAGAACTTCTTTTTGTAAAACTATTATATAATTCATTTTATTAAATTCGACTTGGTTTTATGAGACTCGTTGTTTATTGTCATAGTTACTGAAATTATAATCGGCTGTCATAAATAATAAACACTCTACTAAAAAATATATGACTCGGTTATAACAGCGAGTCCCGGGTAGCTCAATCGGTTTAGAGCGTCTGACTCTTATGAAAAGGTCATCAGAAGGTTGCGAGTTCGAGTCTCGCCTTGGGAGTTCTTTTTGCTGTAGCTATCTTAGCTTTTTTCTATTTTCAAGCCATATGTAAGTAAGTGGAAGCAAATTATGAGTAATTAACTTTCCATGATCTTTTTGAGGAAAATTGAAAAAAACAAACTGAGGATGATTTCAAAAAAGGCCAACCAAGGTTTCGAGTTGGTAAAAATGAAAAAATGTAATTGACCCCGCCAGGAGTCGAACCTGGAATCTCCTGATCCGTAGTCAGGCGCCTTAACCATTGGGCCACGAGGCCTTGTTAATTACAGATGCTTCTTTGTAGTTATACACATTTCTTCGAAAGAGTAATTAACAGTAAATAGTTAGGACTAAGTAATTATGGATTGATACCTATTGTAATGTTAGTAAATAGTTGTTTTGCCCTTTTTTAAGCTTCGCTTCTCTATATAATAACTATATTTCCATTTATGCAATAATTATATGCATTTTTGTTTTTTTCAAAACATGAATTGCTTTCCTTTCCTGCTTTCTTAATGTATATATAATGGATAATTATCTTAATAAAAGGCCGTTTTGACATTGTTTAAACGACTCTGTTGGTGATCAGTGATACTAATGGTTCATGTAAACTTTATTATATTTTTTCGTTCTCTTTCTTTCGCTATTTTTCATTTTCGTTTCTATTTGTTTGATTTTAATGACAAGCCTGTGGAATTTTTGGTATGCGTGTGCCGACGTACGTACAAAACCAGTAACCAGCAAGGTAATAGGTGCGTAGATTACAAAGCGAACAGAACGTTTATAAAAGAGCACTTACAACAAGTGGTCGCATGATGTAGTTGGTTATCATGTCGATCTAATAAGTCGAATGTCGCCAGTTCGAGCCTGGCTGTGACCATTGTTTTTTTTCTTTTTTCTTTTTTCTTTTTTTTTCCTCTTTCTATTTTTCTATCTTACATTTACCTTTAATCACTCTCTTTTTGTTTTTCTTTTCTTTTTTTTCTCGTAATGAAATACCTATCTATTTGTATATTTTATCGCAGAGTTGAATGACCACTGTGCGAAACAAAACAAAACAAAACAAAACAAAACTAGATGAAATCATAGTAAACTAAGCTAAATAGTAAAGCAAATTAGAACAACATTGAATAAAGATAAAAAAAAAAAGAATTTAATTCAAGTAAAAAGCAAAAGGAAATTTGAAAAAGGATGAACAGGGAAAAAATTGGACAAGCCAGAACTCGAATCTGGGACCTCTTCCATGCTAAGGAAGCGTGATAACCATCTACACCACATGCCCGGTTTTTAGGTGAAATCACCGCTATTACTTTACTAATTTAAACAGTAATATAGCGGTAAGATTGTTTCAAACAATGCAGTCAAACCTCCGAAAATATGGCTATAATAGTATGTTTTTTATTGAATTTTATCTTAAATGGAAATTTCTAACATTTTCGACTGTGCGATGTTTTTCGTCTTAGGTTCATCTAACTAAGTCCGTAATAAATAGTTACATAATTAGATGAAGTTACGGGTTATAATATGATACGTTTTTATCTAATATCCACTATTGGAAATCATCATACTTGTATCCACATCTAGCTTTGGGAAACCAAGTTAACCTTGTTGTAAGGTATGGAGATGGACCTCCTATCTCCTTTTCAAGAGTTTCAAAGTTTCAAAGTTTCAAAGTTTCAATTTTCTATTTTCTATTTTCTATTTATTTTGTCAAACCCCTCTAATTAACGAATAAGCCTACCAAGGTATAGTCTTCCATAACTCAGAGATCGGTTAATCGTTGCTGTAGCAAAGTGAATTTACCATAAAACGGTACAGCTCATAAAAGGGTTTTCAGGCAATATTTTCAAAAAATATACACGTCAAAAATAATAATTCGAGTATTAAACCATCAATGCAAGAGAAGTTAAAGCAAAGTCTAGACTACGTACGATCCTCTACAAATCGTTATATGAATTGCATTCATTCATGTAAAGACCAAACATTTGGTGAAACAAAAGGGTTATTAGTCTCTTACAACTACCTGCTTCATCTTTGATGAGAAAGCATATTGGTCTTTCGTCGTTAATTTTTTGTTTGACAAGAGAAGTATAAGTACAAGTACAAGTACAAGTAAGCTAAATTAAGGAGGAAAGTGTCTACGGCCATACCTAGGCGAAAACACCAGTTCCCGTCCGATCACTGCAGTTAAACGTCTGAGGGCCTCGTTAGTACTATGGTTGGAGACAACATGGGAATCCGGGGTGCTGTAGGCTCTCCTCTTTATTTTTTCATTTTCACTGTCTATTACTTATTTATTTCTTTATTTATTTTCTTTTTCTCTCTCTTTCTCTTTTTCTTTTACTACTTATTTTATGTTGTTTTAATTATGTATGCATACTCTGCAAGCATCGCATTGCCTTGGGTTGTTTTTTCATCACCGTACTTTTTTCGAGTTATATACTGCTGCTTGCTTACCTTAATGCAGTCAGGCTAGCTGAAAAGCGATAGTCACCACGCCAGCCAATCAAGAGCATAGATAGTTATGGAAAAAGCGATTCAATACATAATATACTTATACTTATACTTATACAGAAACAGAAACAGAAACAAGGAATCAAACATAACGGAAACTAAATAAGAATCGCAAAGGCCCAATGTCGTCATAAGCAATGCTTTTTTTCGCAAAACAACCAATCCCGATGCTTTGAACACCCTCTCTCTAGACCCTGGTTTCTGTTGTATTTCTCAAGAGCATAGCATTTAGAGGAGGGAGGATTGTTTCAAATCATTACCATTGACAAATGTTGAAAGTAAGACCACCAACACCCAGAGTATTCAAACCTTTCCCTTCGAATCTATTAAAGCCAAATCATTGATCATTCTAAGAAGAACATATACTAATTAAACCCCGTGTAAATATATCATTTGCAGTATACGTTTTTGGGGGATTTGTTCTTTTATTTTCGTTGCTAAACGATCATTTGTGCGCTTACTTTTTGGTAATAAACAACCTTTTTGGACTATCATAATACAGTCTATCTATCACCCGAAAGCTAGCGTTACAAAATCGTAACGAAGATGTAACGAGTGGGTGACATAATCTCGCTAGTTTATGACATGACATTTAGACATGCGAAATACCATCACCGTGAGTTTGCATCTACGCTGTATTTTTTAAGAGGAGTTTTCCATTAAAAAACGAAAACACAGTGAATTGAAAGCTGTAAAATAAGTTTCAATCCTTTTTTTGAGTGATACTTGAGGACTTTGTTGGGTGATTCTATGTGATTTCGTTTTGGCTGTAAATATCTGAGTATTTTTTGTAATTTAAATTGCCATTGTAAAATGAAAGAAAAAAAAACCAAAAAAACCAACAACAACAACAACAACTACTACTACTACTACATCCGAGTTTCAAATTCAGGTGACTTCCAAGCTGCTCAATAATGAAAAGTCGTTCAGTTGTCGTTGTTTAGATGGTATTGATACGCTTCTTCCATATTCAGGTAATATTTGTTGAAATTGAAAGAACGGAGTGCCAAATATTTCAATTATGTACATAATGTCTGCAACTCGTTATAAACAAACGCGAAAAACACTTCTTATTTCGCTAAAACAAGAATATAGGTATCAGCTATATACATCCGTTAGCTCTAAATAAATAGATTGATTTAGAAATGGCTTATGAACCCAACCCGTATTCAGCCTAAGAAGAATTCGATAATAATACTATACTAGACCCCACCTGTTTAAAGGACATGTTGAAAAAATACATGTCTGTAAATGAATAGCAGCGACTATTCTACATATTCCATAAGCAAATTCTTTTTCTTATCCTAGTCTTTGGTCTCAAAATTTCTTCCCGATACGAAAGTTTTTTCCTTGGGTTACTTACTTACTTACTTACCGGCTGTATTGTATTCATTTTGATTTTGTGATTGGTGAATTCTAACTGTTCTAGTGAATTCAAAGGCTCCGAAACCGTAATCGAAGCCCGCTAATCATTGAATGAAACATGTGAAAAAAACTATATGAATTATATTTTAGGCAACTACACTTCGTAAGTGCTTCTTCACATAGCAAATGACTAGAAGAGACGAAGCACGAGTCATACACTAAAAAGATGCGACGACTAGTATACTTTCATAACCAAAAATATAGTACATTTTGACAGCCAAATTATTGTACGTTTGAAATATTCAAGTAGAAAGCAAAGTTATTTATAAATACAACTTATGGACCCATAAAATTCGTACATTCAGTCTTTATATACCTGGGCGACAGCAGCCTAACACAATGTGGTTCGAAAAAAAAAAAGAGAAAAGCAACGTGGTTTTATGTCTATAATATTCAACCACCCTCCATGGGCGGTGTAAAATTACCAAAGATAGAAGTGAGTCGAATTGGACCTCGTAGTTCCGTAGGTCCGTAGTTCATGAAGCCAAATAAGAACTGACCAGTCAATACAAAGTACTTTACAGATACAAGTATAAGTATAAGTATAAGTACAAGTACAAGTACAAGTACAAGTACAAGTACAAGTAAGCTAAATTAAGGAGGAAAGTGTCTACGGCCATACCTAGGCGAAACACCAGTTCCCGTCCGATCACTGCAGTTAAACGTCTGAGGGCCTCGTTAGTACTATGGTTGGAGACAACATGGGAATCCGGGGTGCTGTAGGCTCTCCTCTTTATTTTTTCATTTTCACTGTCTATTACTTATTTATTTCTTTATTTATTTTCTTTTTCTCTCTCTTTCTCTTTTTCTTTTACTACTTATTTTATGTTGTTTTAATTATGTATGCATACTCTGCAAGCATCGCATTGCCTTGGGTTGTTTTTTCATCACCGTACTTTTTTCGAGTTATATACTGCTGCTTGCTTACCTTAATGCAGTCAGGCTAGCTGAAAAGCGATAGTCACCACGCCAACCAATCAAGAGCATAGATAGTTATGGAAAAAGCGATTCAATACATAATATACTTATACTTATACTTATACAGAAACAGAAACAGAAACAAGGAATCAAACATAACGGAAACTAAATAAGAATCGCAAAGGCCCAATGTCGTCATAAGCAATGCTTTTTTTCGCAAAACAACCAATCCCGATGCTTTGAACACCCTCTCTCTAGACCCTGGTTTCTGTTGTGTTTCTCAAGAGCATAGCATTTAGAGGAGGGAGGATTGTTTCAAATCATTACCATTGACAAATGTTGAAAGTAAGACCACCAACACCCAGAGTATTCAAACCTTTCCCTTCGAATCTATTAAAGCCAAATCATTGATCATTCTAAGAAGAACATATACTAATTAAACCCCGTGTAAATATATCATTTGCAGTATACGTTTTTGGGGGATTTGTTCTTTTTTATTTTCGTTGCTAAACGATCATTTGTGCGCTTACTTTTTGGTAATAAACAACCTTTTTGGACTATCATAATACAGTCTATCTATCACCCGAAAGCTAGCGTTACAAAATCGTAACGAAGATGTAACGAGTGGGTGACATAATCTCGCTAGTTTATGACATGACATTTAGACATGCGAAATACCATCACCGTGAGTTTGCATCTACGCTGTATTTTTTAAGAGGAGTTTTCCATTAAAAAACGAAAACACAGTGAATTGAAAGCTGTAAAATAAGTTTCAATCCTTTCCGCGCGGATTGTGAAAGTAGTACTTGTAGTACTTGAGGACTTTGTTGGGTGATTCTATGTGATTTCGTTTTGGCTGTAAATATCTGAGTATTTTTTGTATTTTAATTTGCCATTGTAAAATGAAAGAAAAAAAAAACCAACAACAACAACAACAACAACAACAACTACAACTACAACTACAACTACAACTACAACTACATCAGAGTTTCAGATTCAGGTGACTTCCAAGCTGCTCAATAATGAAAAGTCATTCAGTTGTCGTTGTTTAGATGGTATTGATACGCTTCTTCCATATTCAGGTAATATTTGTTGAAATTGAAAGAACGGAGTGCCAAATATTTCAATTATGTACATAATGTCTGCAACTCGTTATAAACAAACGCGAAAAACACTTCTTATTTCGCTAAAAACAAGAATATAGGTATCAGCTATATACATCCGTTAGCTCTAAATAAATAGATTGATTTAGAAATGGCTTATGAACCCAACCAGTATTCAGCCTAAGAAGAATTCGATAATAATACTATACTAGACCCCACCTGTTTAAAGGACATGTTGAAAAAATACATGTCTGTAAATGAATAGCAGCGACTATTCTACATATTCCATAAGCAAATTCTTTTTCTTATCCTAGTCTTTGGTCTCAAAATTTCTTCCCGATACGAAAGTTTTTTCCTTGGGTTACTTACTTACTTACTTACCGGCTGTATTGTATTCATTTTGATTTTTGTGATTGGTGAATTCTAACTGTTCTAGTGAATTCAAAGGCTCCGAAACCGTAATCGAAGCCCGCTAATCATTGAATGAAACATGTGAAAAAAACTATATGAATTATATTTTAGGCAACTACACTTCGTAAGTGCTTCTTCACATAGCAAATGACTAGAAGAGACGAAGCACGAGTCATACACTAAAAAGATGCGACGACTAGTATACTTTCATAACCAAAAATATAGTACATTTTGACAGCACAAATTATGGTACGTTTGAAATATTCAAGTAGAAAGCAAAGTTATTTATAAATACAACTTTATGGACCCATAAAATTCGTACATTCAGTCTTTATATACCTGGGCGACAGCAGCCTAACACAATGTGGTTCGAAAAAAAAAAAAGAGAAAAGCAACGTGGTTTTATGTCTATAATATTCAACCACCCTCCATGGGCGGTGTAAAATTACCAAAGATAGAAGTGAGTCGAATTGGACCTCGTAGTTCCGTAGGTCCGTAGTTCATGAAGCCAAATAAGAAACTGAACCAGTCAATACAAAGTACTTTAGTACGAGTACCAGTCGAGTACAGATACAGATACAGATACAAGTATAAGTACAAGTACAAGTAAGCTAAATGAAGGAGGAAAGTGTCTACGGCCATCCCTAGGCGAAAACACCAGTTCCCGTCCGATCACTGCAGTTAAGCGTCTGAGGGCCTCGTTAGTACTATGGTTGGAGACAACATGGGAATCCGGGGTGCTGTAGGCTCCTCTTTATTTTTTCATTTTCACTGTCTATTATTATTTATTTCTTTATTTATTTGTTTCGTTTGTTTGTTGCTCTTTGTTATTTCTTTTTTTTACGTTCCCTTTTTCTTTTTCTTTTTCTCTCTCTTCTCTTTTCTTCCTTTACTACTTATTTATGTTCTTTTATATGATGCATACTCTGCAAGCATCGCATTG